TCTTTTCATAAGAAGGGACCCAAATTTATTTGGGTTCCTAAATCGAATGTTTAATGAATTTATAAGCTTTCTCTCACGAAGGACCCATGAGAGAATATGGTACCTGGTCAGCGGAGGCTCACGACACATAATTACATAAACTTATTTCTTAATAAATACTAATTTGCATGTTTTCTGCTTTATTGCTTGTTGTTATTTTATATTCTTTCTTTTTAGTTTTGATTGTTGATTTTTTATTTGTTGTTATTTTATAATGTTTTCATCTATGATGTTCTTATTTGTTAGTTTTTCTTTTTAGTCATAATAGAAATAATATTTTATGCCTTGTTTTTGTTTTTGAAAATTTGTAGTTAATGTTTGACATCCCTAAATCAGTTAAAGGGAGAAACACCTTGATTATATCCCTTTCTCTAACTTCTTTTAGTGGTGTACTTTTCTTTTCTAAATAAAAGTCTATCTCAAATTAACAACTGGACTTTGTGATTGAGATCTTTTCAATCTTGTTAAAGTAATCTATCTTATATAAATAATGTTCAAAGTCATTAAATCACTTTCAAGCTTTCGTAATCTTATCGTTGCTTTTATCATATGAAATGATTCTGCTTTATGGTTTACTTTTTCTTATATTAGAGAGTGAGTTTTTATTCTCTAATATATGGAAGATATTCTAAACACTGAGAGTAATTAAGAGTTTTTAAAAAAGATCTAGCTTACAAAAAATGTCAAGGACATAAAATGAGCCCCAAAAAGAAGAAAAACTAAAAAGATGCGCAATGACCGTAAAAAAAAAATGAATGATACACAAAAGTATATCAAAAATCAAAAGATGCACAAAGTGCGCCAATAAATTGACAAGAGGCATAAAATGAGCCTATAAAATGTAAGTTTCCTTCTCTTTCAAATCTTTAAATCTTAGAATAATTCATGTGTCACTTGATATTTTCAAAGGCTTGATTTCAAATTTTATGATTGTAACAAATTACTTTGGTATATTATTCTATAAGATAGTTTTCTGAAACCAAGTTGTGAGCATATCTCTTTTTCTCATCCAATTAGTTTTCTAAGTTAGCTCTGCTCTCCCTTCTTCGCACTTGCCTCCAAGTCCAATCATATGGTTAAACATCTGATTCTCGAGCATATCACCCAGTACCATTCGAACCTAATCTGTAAGCCAAGACCGCTTAAGCCTACACCATCCAGTCAACTGAATCCCCTTTCCTCAGTGTAAAAGAACCACAACCAATGTCCTTATACGAATGATGGCAATAAGTTGTTTGGCCCCCATTTTTCTCCCTCCCGTTCGACTTCCATAGTTGAAATAGAAGCATGCCTTTTGGCCTTGTTGCTTTGGTTGATGCAATTAAGCCTCGAACCAGAATTGTTTTGCTAGGTGTAAACTTGATTTCTGCCTCTTCATACATACTTGAATATGTTGGTCTATAGGGTTAGGTTGTAAGCCCAACCATACGGGCTACTTATCTTATAAGGCTAGGTCGTAAGACCCATCATTAGGAAACTTCCATGAAAGCCATAAGACATATCCAACTAAAACTCTCAAGCATCTTAAGTTATAGGGCTAAGTTGTAAGA